ATTACGGTTGAACGGAAACCTGTCCGTGAGTCGCGCGTCGATAGTGTTAGTGCATTAACACTATCGACGCGCGACTCACGGACAGGTTTCCGTTCAACCGTAATGTATGATTGGCCTGTTTTGAACCTTTTTATGTAAAAAAAACTACTGCTCGGAACGAAAAATGGTAAATAACTTTTTAATTTATTTTTTCGACGACTTTCTTACTATGGTATTTTGATTCGCGAATTTCAGGACACCCTGTATATAGATATATATACACATATCTATAATGATATACGTATGTTTAATATAATAGATGTGTACATATACATACACATGTTTTACACATGTATATATAGGTGAATGTATCATACATGTGTATCATTATAGATAGATAGATATATACATATATATCTTACCTTGATAACATCACGCAATCTTTAGATAGAACGTTTTATCTAATGTGTGTAACATGATGATGACACGCACTTTATCTAAATAATCCCTATTCAATTATATATACTTTATCTGCATTATATGTAGTATAGAGATCACAGTATACAAGAAGCCAGATATATATTCCAATATGTCATTTTATATCATACCTCATTCATTCTCTCGTTCTCTCTTTCGCTCGCACTCACACTTCGATTCTCTCGTATTTTTCTCAACTTTACATCTCTCGGGCTTTATATTTTCAATTTTATAATTTCAAGTGCAAAAATACAATTAGCAATCTCCTTAAAATCTGCCTCCTAATTGTATATGCGTCTTGTTACCTCACATTTTCTCTATCTCTCTCTCTCTCTCGCGAACTTTCGTGGTTTATCACGCGGACAAACCTTGGATAAAGAGTCGTGGAATGTAAGCCACAATCACACATGCAACAAATATAGAAATTTCGAATATAAATTTTGATAGTAAAATATATGTATATATATATTTTTTTGTTCTATAGATAAATTTATATATTCTAACTCTGGCCCCGAAATTCCGTTAAAATTCTTGCACTACTCTCCTAATATTCATCTTAGGGTTCTCATTCGCATTCTACAATTCAATAGTTCAGTTCATTAATTCGGTTTATATACAGTTGCTACAACGCATAATTGATTATACGACACTCGATTATGGCGCGTCCTTGATACAACGCGTACATCGAGCACAAAGGATGCAATATTGGTTCCAAAATCGTGATATACCGAGGTGTTTTTGGAACAGTCGACTAAATACAAACGCTCTCTCTTATTAAACGGCAAATGTTCTTGGCACAAATACATGAAAGTAACGGAGAACCGTTTCGGCGCATATACAGTAAGAGCCTGAGAAAATCCAGTTAAATCCTTCTTCTCGAATCCGATCTACGTCATAGATGTACACAACTATTGAACTGTCGTGAAAAGATTTTGTCAAGCTCTTTGCACTTCGAAAACCATGGAAACGTTAATAACGCAATTGTTCTGTGATGCATTTATACTGAATGTCTCAAATCAAGTAGAATCTCTCTTTGGAATTGACCTTATTCACGAACTACCTTTCAGCAAAAAAAAAATAGTACATCACAGAGTATATACTTAAGATTAAGAGAGAAAGGAAAGGAGAAAAGAGAAACGTGTAAGGAAGGAAAGACCTGGTAACAGTTCTCCTGGCATTCTTTGTACATTGTATCGTCGTGTGTATGTTCTTTAAGTGCACCCAAGACGTCTCATACACATCTCGTCGTTGTAAAAGTGGAAGGGAAATTGCCCTGTACGGATGGTTTGTCCCGTTACGAGGAGGGAGTGTGGAGAGGGATAGGGCGGAATATCCGCGAAGATTCAGCTTCACATCGAAGCATCTGTCATTATCGGCACTCAACACAAATCTACGTGAGGGCGAAGAGGTGGGGGGGAGCGGGGCAAATCGTTGTCCGATTTGCTCCGCGAGTGGGATACTCTCTTGTACTTCTTATCGCACTCTTACACGTAACGACGAAAATGGGGAAGGATTCTGCGCGATTGCAACTTTAAATCCCCGACAAACACATAGAGGCTGGGCACAAAGGGCGTCAAATTTAATTTCTCGATCTTGAAAGAAACCCTCATCTCCCTAGAGCGTTAATGTGCCTCTGTGAATTGAATAAACGTAAATGTTCGCTTGTGTCTTCTTCCATTTTGACGATTGTTCGCCGAAAGTCTCATAACATGTTCGAGCGCCCTACCATTTATTAATGACTGCATTCGACAAACTCTCAAGCCGTCATGGCATATTTCTCTGCGTCAACTAACCACTTCCGAGATTAGATCTAATCTTCGTTATTGCATCTTCCCGAACTTCGTCGATGAATTAGATTTTTCGGGCTCCGCCTTTCTCCGTCTTGAAGATCTTCACGTATGCTTCATGCAGATGATACCACTTTCCCGTGAACCAGACGGAGTAGATGCTGGTTTGATCGATCTCCAATTTCATTCCGTCACCCATCGACCTGCTGCCAATGTGGATCCCTTCTTAGGTCGAGGTCACTTTGCCGCCGGCTCCCAGACCGCTGTGGTGTGATTAATGATTACGCACGATCATTGCGTTCCTACCATCGCTAGGTCCCGCGTCACTTCCTCTCTTCCTGCTCCTGTTCGGTCTTAACGAGATTATACGCGTGACTTCTGTACTTGGCAGGTGGGTCGTGCAACGACAGGGGCTGCTGCTGTTCGCTCGACGGCTGGCTCATACTGGACATCGAGAGGTCCGTCGGCATGTCCGCTTCCGGTTCCGCTTCGGGACTTCCGGCGAGAGCCCTCTCCTCCTCCGGCTCCGACTTTATTCGCATCTGATGGCGTAGCGATGATATGTTCTTGATGTTCTTCAACTCGACCGAATTACGCAGGAATCTGCAAGGAACAAAGACGACCCATTCACGTCTTTTTGTCCGTACAACAACTTTTGCGTACTCTAAATGCGAAATTTGTATTTGTAAAGTCGTCGCGTTTAATAGCAGCGATAAAAAGTGGATTCTAATATATTTTATTGAAATCATTTCGAAATTGAATCATTCCATGCATCTCTCGCATTCTTTTCTACAGAAATCGTAGACCAATTACTTATTGTAATAATAATACTCACTGATAACAGTGTCGTTCGCCTTGGACTTTTCTAAGTATGTTGACACGGTAGTAATAACGCAGAGCTCTACTCATTTTATCGTAATTCATAGAGAGATGATTCTTCTGGATGCCCCAGAGTCGCGCCAGACCAGGCGGATCGACGATCTTGAAGACGCCGGTTTCCCGACTTTTCCACGAGATGTAATGCTGGTACCGTTGCGCGGGGTCGTTCAGCAATTGCTGAAGGAAGTCCCAGAGCAGTCTTCCGTCTAAACAGAACGGCGCAAATTGTGCTACAATATGAATAATAATCATGGGAGGATTAAGGCAACGGTACATTCTACACTTAATAAAGTACTCTACATCGTTGTCGTTCGATATTAATTGAAAGCTCAAAAAAAGAGGAACGCCTGAAAGATTGCGGCACTTCTTATCTATTTTTACGGTAAATTCGCGTGGTCTAAAAAAAGAACGGTAGCTACTTTTCGGCGATACGACTGAAAATCGCGGACAACTGCAGATACTAACTCGTGTTGGGCTCTGACGAGTCGCTGGGGAAGAACTCTCTGGGCGCGCCGGCGGCCGAGCGGAAGGCACCGGGCGTCAGCGGCATCAATTGATGCGGTAACGTCGGGCTCGGTTGGTCCTTGACGCTCACCTCGCTGAGCCTCTGCGCCGTCAGGGCGGTCGGCGTAGCCGGCGGGCTGCTGTTGCCGCTCGACACCTGATGAGTGTTGTCCTCGTCCGAGTCGCTCTTGTAGACCTTGTAGACCTGCGTCTGGTTCGCGTCGGTCGCGTGGCTGGGCGAGCCCGACTGACTGTCCACGGACGGCGCCGGCGACAGCGTCACCGAATTCGCCGACATCAACGAGGCGAGATTCGAGGCGTACGGCTGCGTCTCCGTCCACGTTGGCGTAGGCGGATGCGAGTGCGGACTCTGCGGATACATGGACGGTCTGGTAGGTGTCACCGGGCTGCTCGGCAGGCATCTCTGTAGCTGACTGTAATCGCGCACCAGCATGGTCAGCACGTTGTGCAGCACGTCGCCGGCGCTCGGACACCTCTCGCCCATATCGGCCTTGGTCAACAGACACAGGGCCTTGCCGTTCATCTGGAACACGTCCATGTCGAACGGCGGCAGGTCGAATTCCCTTTCGGCCCACCGCAGGAACGCCGCTACGTCCTCCCGCGACCACAGTCTAGGGTCGGACACTGAAAGGAGAGAAGGTACCATTGGTCGTGTTCGCGGTGACCTTTGTCACCACTATGCGATTAATATTGCCCATACGTTTGCAACTAATTCACTTATTAATTCATTAATATCCTTCACAAAGTCGATATATTCACGCGAACAGTCTGAATCTCAAATTGTCTAACGAAAGAAAAATCGAGGCAGTTAAAGGATATATTCTTTAGCTTCGTTTTCACACGAAATCAAGTCTACTCGTGACAATGCTACAAAACCTGAAATCGAGACTTTTCTTTTATAAACTCGCAAAGGAAGAATATTCGTGGTCTCGCAAATATTTACCCAGGCTCGTTGGTAGATGTGTTTTGAAGTCCAAAAGGGGATTGGACGGTGGGTGTGTCGTAGGCGGGAAACCCATCGAAGGCCCATACTGGGCCCTCCAGACCCAATCTGTACCGAAAGGCAGGGATATACCGGGAGGCAGCCGAGGCTCCATTCCGGTCATTCCGGCCGCAGCGGAAACCGACGGTAGCTGCGATATCTGAATTGGCAGCAATTTCATAACACGCTCTCGGGTCTACTGATGGCTTCTGCAACACAAGAAATAAATCAAGCTTATTCAGCGTGTCTAATCTGCAAAAATCCTGCGTAACGAGGTAACTCGATTGTGCCGTAGATGTAAACCGAAATTGCATATGTGTAGTCTCGCAAATCTTTCGTGTCGATGGAGGAGAGTCACGAGACAGGCTTCTAATATGAGATAGCAGGTGTTCAACGCCCGAATTTTATCACAGATCTTTTTCCGCAACGACTGCGCGATATCCAGCAATGAATCTTCCACCAAACAGATTTCACTCCAAGGGCGATAATCTCGTGACGGAACCAACGGACGACGGCTATTAATTTTGCAGAAACCCCGCTATCTCATATTAGGAGTCTACCTCATAATAGAGGACGTTCCTCCACGAAATAAATACGTCTTCGTGGTTTGATAAGCAGTCAAATGTGTTGGCATCGTTACGCGGCGCATCATTCCTCCCTCCGAAGATTATGGCTCTATTAAATCCTAGACGCGACATTATCGTTCGATCTGCTTAGCGTAACACGAAACGACGCTGGCGTCATTTCGACGCTACAGGCGCACGAAAGTGATCTCTATATTTATTTGCGACTATGGAGACGCGACACTGTGTGACGTAAAGTGCAATCTTCCGTGTCTATACCGTCGAAAATCGATCCCTGATATATAGCGTTCTACTTCACCTAACGATCGGCTCGCCGATGTAGAACGACGGAAGATAATAGCGCCAGATTACAGTTACACGCCGACTTCTTGCAACACGAAGCCGGCAAAGATGATTCAAGAAGACAGAGGAAAAACGAGTCGAGAAGACCGGAAGAAGGCAGAGAAAAGGAGAGAAAGAGGAGATGAGCAGAGAAGCGTCGCGACGGTAGAGTTTCGAGGCGTCGTCGTTCTCCATTTCCTGATCGGCGACCGGTTCGCAGACGTTCATCAACTATTAGCATAGAATGTGGAGGCATAAGAATGAAAGCCGGCAGGAAACGTGGATTTACATAACGTATTTCCATCGACGTCGACGAAGCTATTTCGTTCTCGACGTCGGCTCGCGGGGACCCGAGAGCGGCTAAGCGAAACTCCTTATAGCGCACGACGTGCACGGGATTCTCAGTTTCGGACCCGAAGTTCGCGTTATGCTGTTCATTTCGAAACCTCTCCACGCACACACACACACATTTCATTGCTCAGAAACTCAATCCTTTTCCCATCACTCGTGATGTACCGGAACCAGAAGTGTCTCGAGCAGTTGTAGCCTTCGAGGTTCAGACGAGCGGGTCAAAAAGTTCAGATTGATAATGAGTCACTTCGTAAGATTTATACCAGTTATACAAGATAAGAATTACGCATATCGTGGTCCAGAACAGCGGTCGGAAGACCTCGCGCCAGCATTACATTAGGACGCGAGAAGAAAAAGCTAATTGCAAAATGTAGCATAGAGCAAAGTGGCTTCCTCATCTCGATAACGATTATTTCCCACGATAACCATATGTTTCGAATCTGTAATTGGATCGCCGCGATTACGTATAATTATTGATATATCGGTGCATAATCGCGCCTAATGTCGCGGCGTGTTACAGCTTCTTGCACTCCGACTCGTGACATCGTGACACGAAAAAATCGCGGTTACGATCCGATTTAATGCGTCTCGTAATAAGCGGACTTACGATAGAAAAAGGCCTATTGACGTCACCACGCGTTCGATATTATCGAGGTAAAATTATACGCAACTATTGTAACCGATACTGTCACGCCGGTTTACATGCTTATTATCGCTGTTCGACTACTTAGCGAAAAATGAGCAGCTTTATTCTAGAAACATGAACTTGCGCCTCCATTTTAATTTGTTCTTCCGTACAATTGTGCCATTTCCTACCGACCACCGCGCATTTATCACATCGATTGCTGCCGTGAACAAGAAAAAGTGAAAACAAGCGGATGAAAATTAATTTCAAATCTCTTCGAAGAGGAGACCGGTCGTGCCACTATTTGGCTCCTTTTCCGTTCGAGATTCGACGATCGATGGGTTCCCGAATATTTTCAGCAAAGAAACTCTCGTTTGACACTTCGAAAAATGATCTGGAGGAAGCCCTCGGCGATACAATTGCGGCGCGATGATCGCTCGAGAAGCGAGAAAGAAAGAGAGAGAGAGAGAGAGAGAGAATTGCCCCGAGGGAAGAAGGCAGGAACCTCGGCATGCGAAGGTCGATGTGCCGTTGTCTCGCACCAGGAAATCCTGGTCGTCTCTTCGGTCCCTCCCTCCCCTCCCTCCCCTCTCCTCTTTAAATACCGAGTAAGCGAGCGGCCTTATACTCAGGTGCTACTCCTTTCGGTCGGCGATTTTTTTTTGCGCCTCGGCTAATTAAAGCGGCTACTCGAGGCGGCGACGAGGGATGGATTTGAGGAATCGCCTTCGCATCGCATCTGCCTCGTGACGTTGCTTTTGCGTGCTTCTTGACGACTATTAACTCTGAATTACAAGCTGAACGATCCACAAATGTGAAAATGCATCTTTGATGGCCATCGCTTTGAAATCGATCATTTGGGGGAGGGAGGGGATTTTAAACTGCCGGTTTTGCAGTTTCGGCCGCGCCAATTTTCGCGTATCGGAATGCGAGAGATGAAGGGAGCGATAATTGCGCGTATATTTTTTCCCCTCGCAAGGCAAGGCGAAGAAGAAAACACCGGATTCTGCGGTTCCGTTCGCGTGTTTCTCCCGCGAATGTTCGTTTCTTTTTCTTCGCGGCGGAAGAAAGGAGAACCGATCGCTTCGCGAATCGCGACGGAGGAGACGGCAAAAAGTTGCAACCGCGACGCCGCTCGAGACTTCCGGTACGCGACTGAAGGACGGGGAACGCACCGGAAGCGCGCTCGATCGCGACGAGGTAACGTTGACATTTCCGCGTTGCCTATTTCTTGCCGCGCCACGTCACGGCATTTGCGTAATACAATATATGCTTAGGTTCTTGAAAACTCCCGCGAACTCGCGGAGCACCTCTTTTCCGTTCTCGACACGGGCCTGAGTTCTTCCGCTCTCTCCACTCCACGAATTTTAATATAATTTTAATTACATGACGCAAACCGACCACACATGTATATATTTTTTTAAACGAAAGATAAACTAAACGACATGCCTCACAATGTTGCTCAGATTTAACTACAATTGATCGATTTCTTTTTCGTCTTTCGTATTTGTCGATGGAAAAGAATTAACCACCGACTTAAAAGATGAAAAGTTCACCCAATTCACGAAACAGATAAGTTCGTTTCTCTATCAGTCTGTCTTATCGCCATATATCTTTCTTCTCTTTCCCTGAGCGTCCCTTTCTCTCTGTCTTTTCGTTCCGATATTTCCTCTCCTCTTTTCTCAACCGAATGGTGTTGCCGTCACGTGGAGGACCTGCAGGGTGACCTTGATTATACCGTCTTGTTTACGATCGATCTTGCAACTTAACGACCGGGTTTCCCGACGCGAAAAAGCTCTTGACCGATCGCCGTTGCAAATGTGTTTACGTTGTCGCGCGTCGAATGGCTCGGGAGTCTTCGCGTAGAAGCGAGTGCGATAATCGTGTGCGTGTAGATAGCGCGGCTCAGGTAGTGACTGTCATTCGCCATCGCGCGTAACGCAAAGGCCACGTGCCTCGCGCCGAACATGTAAACATCGCTGGAAGCGGATCTCCGGATTCTCGTCCGATGTCGCGGAAGACGCGTGCGAATCGCAGACGAGCAAATTACAACACGTCGGATGTCGGGAAGTAGCCGATGGTCCAATAAGAAAATTACTACAAAAAAATTAATTTTCTCATTGGACCATCGGCTACGTTCCGACATCCGACAGCGACAAATGACGTATTGTAATAACAGGCCTTACCAAAGTGCGCTTTACGCAAACCTATTGGGACCTGAGCAGAAAGATTGTCGTAAGACGTAAGTCGGTTTCGGGAGTCAACGTAGAAAGAATTGTCGTAGGCGTATATCGTAGACGTATGTCGTAGACGTATGTCGTCTTGCGACGCGATGAATATGACATACGTCTACAATTTTTCCGACACCGACCTAAGTCTTACGACAGAATCGTATACTTAGGACAATCTTTCTGTTCAGGCCCTTAGGCTAATATTACATTTGTCGTACGACAAATTTTTTCAAGCGTGTCGACTGGCTGCAGAATAGAAATTTCTAGAGACTCGGGAACTTTTCTGTTCCACAGCCAATCAACACACTCAAAAAATTGTTTGTACGACAAATGTAATACCAGCCTTAGGGCGCTATTACATTTGTCGTACGACAAAGTTTTCAAACATGTTGACTGGCAGCAAAATAGAAAATTTCTAGAGAACTTTTCTATTCTAGAGGCAATCAATGCGTTTAAAAAATTTGTCGTACGACAAATGCAATACGAGCCTTAGGGTGCTATTATATTTGTCGTACGACAAAGTTTTCAAGTATGTTGACTGGCAGCAAAATAGAAAATTTCTAGAGAACTTTTCTATTCTGGAGGCAATCAATGCGCTTGAAAAATTTGTCGTACGACAAGTGTAACACGAGCCTCTCGTTTTTCGGTGCGAAGATAAAACCGCTAGAGCAGTGCGTTCGATCACAAAGATATTCGCGATTCGTCTCCCGCGGCTTGGAATCGGCGGCCTCTTTCCCGCCGCGACGAGACGCGATGATTGTATTTAAATCGCGCCGACCGTGAGTTGAAATGCATGAGGTGACACCACGTGCGCCTCATGCGAAACGCCGCCGCAATCTGCGCACGCGGGCGGCTCGTCGGCGAAAAGAACACGTTCGCGGAGCGATAAAACGTAAAAACGTTTTCTCCTCCCCGGGCGACAATTTCATTCCCGTCAGTCAAGCACGACGCACCTCGGGGCGCGTAATCGGTCAGCCGGCGTGTCGGCAAAGGATCCGTGATTAGGCCTCGTCATATCCACCTCATCGTCTCGCGCGGTCTCGCCGTCCTACAGGACGTCGGTTGCGTTGCCACTTGTCGTCATCGTCGTCGTCGTT